GGATATACTTTTTCATGCTCACTAATTGCTTGTCTGTCAGGCTCAGCTGAGTGTCTGTAATGTAAATGTGAAGCAGTGACAGAAGTCAAATGCAAATTGTGTTGAATATCATACATGGGGACAGACTCTAAACTGTATTATCTCACTCTCGTGCACGTTTTGCATATTACCCAACAAAGGATATCATATTTGTTCCCTGTGTGCCTTGGACACTGGGAACTCATGTGTTCAGCATTTACTGTTGCAAACAGGCCTGCTGTCAAGTACTTTACATACAGGGAAGTGCAATGCATCCACGAGCCATTTGTTGTTGACAGTTCCATGCTGTACACTCTGTAAGAGCCTCCAGCAGGGGAAGCTTTTTTTGTGAGCTTATACTCTATATTTGCATACCCTGTAGGTCACATTTCCATATTGTTCTCCCGTTTCTTTTGCTGCCAGTACGGTCTACCATTCAAACTGCTGAGCCTGAGTCATATATATATATATACTGTTGCGTACATGGTCATAATACTGTAAATAAAGTCATATTTTAATTGTGGTTGTTTGTAAAGGGAAGTGTAGCTGTGTGTTTGCGTCCGCCCAGCTGTAGCGGAGCAGGCAGATCATACAGGATGGGAATTGGTCACAGAGAGGTCTCTGTGTCTGCACCCGAATTTGGTTGAACATACAATGGTTCTCATTTTCGAATTAGCCAGCTGTAGAAACCAAAAAAACAACAACCACACACCTGATTCTGAACTGTCATTACCATAAAGTACATGTACCAGTCATATTCATGGTTGAATACATAGCTATTCACATGCAAATTTGCCTCCCCACTATTTGTTGCCCATCCTCTGTATATGTGCATGTGAGCTGTAGAAGGCTTCACCTCAAACTATTGGTAAAACATAAATATTGATTTGATAGAGTAGCATTTTACCAATGTAGAAATGCTAATAATTTAATGTGGCACAAGTTAAAAACTGCGTTCTCAAAGAACCAACACACAGCTGCATTATAACAAATGTAAAAAAAACATGTAGTGTTGTGTATAGTTCTCACTGTGCAGCATACAGAGCTCTTGTGTGGCACTACTTGACTAACCAGACTTGGAATTTGATGGGAATGTTGTTTACTAGTTAAAGTATATAATGCTGTACTTTGTTGAGTGTGATGGGAGCTGTTGTTCAGCGCTGGCTCAGTAAATTGAATTCCCCTCAGGACAATTAATGACATCCTGATTTAAACAGTCATATATCTGGGCCAAGCTAACTTGTCACCTTAAGTAAAAGTAGAGACTTTTCTAACCTCTGGTAGACGCTGTGCTGGCAGGATCTGTTGGTGGCCTTGGGCCTGCTTGGACCAGTCTTCATTTACATAACCCAAAGCATTGCCACTGGTTTTGGAAACTGACAGCAGTTCAGCAATCTCAGTTAAACAACAGCTCTCTCTGGTGATTTCTGCTTAAGTGTTGTGATTCTTGGGTTGAGTGTCAGCTAATGAGAACTGGATTGGAATTTAAGTCCAAAATCTACTGAAGTAAAAAAATACAAAGATAGCAGGCTCTTTACTCCACCAAGACACAGATTGGCTCCTTTGACAAGGAACATGGAGACTGATTTGTGCTATTGTAAGATGGTGATTTAAGCTTTTCCTCTAGCTTCATTTTGAATTAATCTCCAATTCCGCCAATCCTGAATTGGCCGCGTGAATGGTGTTCATCTTGCGCTGGCAACCATGTAGTCTCACCTGAGAACTATATAAAAGTGTGGCGCAGATAAAAACACTCGCCTCAATCTCAATAAAGCAGAAACCTCTTTCTCACCGCCCAGCAAGAAGGGGGTTATGTCTGGCAGACCAACCGTTGCTTCGATATTAAATTCTAAGAACTCGGTATGTTAATTATCCAACCACGTAATTTTCGCGAATTCATTTAATATATCACTCGTTTTTCTCGTATCCGGTGAGGTGGATGTAAGCTCCCGTTATTGCTTCAGACATTCTTATCGAACACTGGTATCTCTAGCCTAGGGGGGGTTTCCAGTTAGGACCACTCCAGGACCGCGCTAGCCACGCACGGGCCCCTGCAACGTCAGGCAATGTAGAACCGACACAAACAAGGTAACAGAGGCGAGGACCAAACTCGCTGGCTGAACAAATTCCTGAACCGCACTTCCCCAATAAAAATAAAGCCAGGACAGCGGTCGCACCCTCCGCCTGGGTAGAGTGCGCATGCAAAACCCGCCGGCGGGCTGGCCGCAGATCCCCCTGCCGGTAGTAACGGCAGAAAGCCTTATAGCCTCCCACCCAACCAGTGGGCGGAAGGCGCTGCTTTTGGTGGACGGCTGTCCCCTTTTCGGGGGTTCAAGCCCCAGGAGGAAAAGAGCTGATCCGCTCCTCCTGATGCTCTGGTGTCCCTGTCCATATAAGAGCGCAGCCATGGTTGCGCTCGCTGAACTCACCTGGGAGAAGCGGTGAACGCTTGCGAGCTCAATCGGGGAACATGAACCCACCCCCCTTTAGGTACAAAGACCCGGGTTGGGGCTTCACTTCACCTTCACCCGCCAATCAAGATTGGGCGGTTATTTGGAGACCTTAAATGCTTTCTATTTCAGGGCTGCAAGGAGCTGCATGCCATAGCGAAAGACCACCTCGCGGAATATTTATTCTAAGAGGGACTGCCAGTTTTATTGTTCAAAAAACCAAACCACCGCTTCTCCTCAATTACCTCCTTTCAAATTGTCTCTTTGCCGCTGGGTGCACACCGAGGAAAGCTGGCTGGTGACAAGCGTCATTGGCAACAAAACAAACCTAGGAAGTGCTTACATCAAAAGGCTTGCTGTTACATCAAAAAACAAACCCTCGAAAGTACAGCACTGAGTCCCCTCTCCTTTTAATAAGGACTATGCCAGATTGACAGGAATATTTACTACCGTTTCTGTCTCGTGTGTCATTTTTCAATTATACCCTGATTTTGTGTCCTAACTAAACGCTTCAATACACACAGGAATTCTTTCTGCTTCCAAGCCACAGCTCTGGAAAACTGCTATTGTTACCTTAGGAAGCAATATGGTGGAAATGTGGAGGTTCCTGTTGCTCCTGTTAATATCATCTACTTTATAGTTTGGAAATGAAAATCTATTATTATTTATTTTCAAT